CATTGTCACTCTGATCGATTGAGTTGATTAAGGTAATATATTATTCCTGATCCTAAAAGAAAAGGTATAGTTTATACCAACACATTTTAGTTTAGAGCCAAGCATTTTTAATCTAAAATGTAACATGGTAAATTATTATTGGTTTATTGCAAAATGATTGCGCTTTAAGTTTGAAAAACTTATTTAAATTGATTGTAGCTTACAGTTATTATCCTTATGAAAAACAGTATAATTTAATAAATTGTTTATTAATGTTACCTAGTATTTGTACAATAGTTCAATTTATAGCTGAATCTAATCTGCATTTCAGATCATTAGCCTGTAGGTAAATCTGAAAATATTATAGCTTTTGGTAATTAACTTGACATATTTCAAACAAAATCAACTTTATAACTACAACCCTTTCTTACAAAAGAAATAATAAGTGTCATAAGTCAACAAATTTCACTTGTAAAAACACTCTAAATAGCTTGGTGTTACTTACAGGTTTCATAATGTATCCAAATAGAATTTATTCACTGTCAGGAAGGAAAAGCAAAATCCATGGCACAAACCACACGGCACCTTGCGATACGCCTGTCAGACTGATAAACCACGGTGTTCAAGGTGCAACAATGGTTTCACAGATTGACCACATAAATAGAACCTCACCGGTGCCAAATGTTCCCTCACCGCCTTCTGAATCTCACTGTTGAGATGTTGATGTACAACTCCACACTGTGTTGTTGTGATAAGGTAGAAGTTATGTTGATAGAAGATTACATCAGTTGTACTGTAACAATGGAACAACCTTAGTTATGGCTGTTAAAAATATTGATTTCACGGTTTGCAAACCAATTGCACAAATGAATCACTTCTCGCTCGATTACGGATCAGTTACAGTTTATGAAATCGTCTTGGTTTTTTGATAACTCCTAATTAAATTTTTTGGTGTATTATTATTTAGGACAAAAATTAAATATATTTCACCTCTATTCAATTATGGCACTGTTAAATTTACATGTTCATTGTAAAGTCAAGGCCTTATATGTCTTCCCTCAGAGATGTGTATGAGAATAAATTATAGCATCTGAGCTTGAGACAATGACTTGCTCTGATTACTTCACTAGACTACCACGTTAGACATTTTTCTTTAAATTAAGATACAAAGGGAGAGGAAACGCCTTCATACAACCATTTTATTTACAACCAAATTATTGATATGACATAATTTCTCAGAAATATCTTATATATTAAAACGTGACAGGGTTTTTTTATTTCACGATTCTAAATCAACCACTTGACGGATTTTCATGATTTTCCTTGATTTTTCCTTGATTTGATTGATTTTTCTTTGTGTTGAAAGAAAGATAATTTTGATAACTAGGGAATGTCGAAGCCATAATTTTAGTTTAGGGTTTCAGTTTTTTAGAAAACAAGTTTAAAATTTAAAAAGTCTAGCAGCCGACGCTAACATTCTACACTAGCTTTTGATAACACCATTTGCTTAACTTCAGCTGTAAACATTAAGCGTGTGTGACACAAATTCTGTATTTGGATAATAATGACATGCATAGTGTTGACTTATACTATGTGTAATGCTATACTCTCATTGATACGTTCATTTATTTTGTAAGATGATGACAGACTATTTAAATATTCATAGTAAAATGCTAGATTTTCTAATTTTTTTTTACAGCAGTCTTTAAAATTTGTAGTTTGTTTTAGTGCAATATAATTTGTTTTAACTAGCAGCTGCTTGAATATAAAAATATTCTATAGAACTATCAGGTTAGTTTATTATTCTGTGATTTTGCCATTGATTATAGGAAATAAGTAAGATTCTTTACAATAAATGTTTTTGTTTAAAATAGATGTTTAACCGCTCAAAATTTCTTTGGATTAGAAATGGAAATATTGACATAGCTTCAGTTTTAGTTGACTACTCAATTCCCGTACGTAGGACGGGCCAACAGCTCATATAGTATTAAGATTCTTTTTATTGACAAATGCAAATTGTTTTGAGGTAAATATGGAGTGGTAAAATATTCATCACAAACAATACTGACAGAAATTTGTGAACTATGATGTAAAACTCATAAGTTATGTTCCTAAGTAGAAAGAGAACATCTCACTGATTTTCTTCACTACCACAACCATGTTTATTGACTTAGTGAGCCAAAATTATGGGAGGAACAATGAGAATTTTATGTGTGCATGTGATCATTGAAGATTTATTTTTGTGTGCCAACATGAGAGTATGGTAAAAAATACAATTTTTGCAAAACTCATGTTAAGTCATATTGAAACAAAGAGTGGTGTGCTTATTTTTTTTTTTACTTACAACTTACAACACAATAGTAAAAAATTGCGAGAACAATAAAGGAATTTAGAAACAAACGGCAATGTAAAAAAAATATAAACATTTGTCGTTTTGTAGTCACTCAGCCATCAACTGACTTACACAATGTTTGAAGATCATAAATTGTCGCAACAAGGTTAATTCTAAGTGTTTAACGTCACAAATTAAACAAAGATAGAACTGTAGCTTAATTTAATGATACAATACCGAAAACAAAAACTTGTGTACAGTGCAACAACAACATGTTAGATAATAGCGATTGTTTGCTATTTTCTTACAAAAAAGTGAAGACCAGTACTGCTCAATGTTAATTGAATTTCTTAGTATTTACTTCATGGTTTTATTCTTATTAAATACAGAACTTTAAATATTATGAATTTTGATTATCATAATATAAAAAAAAACTGTGGTCTTAAATATTAGTTTTTTTTTTATTTAGCTTAAGTTTAATCTGTGTAGGTATTTTGGTGTATAAATTTACAATAATAAACGAGCCAAACATTTTACATGGTATTACATTAATATTAACCAGAGGTCGTCCAGTGGTCAAAAACAAAAATATATAATGTACAGACTTCTTTATTCTAACACAAAGCCGCAAAGAAAACATGTGATTGAAATGTATTTTTTATTCCATTTGTTTTGATTTTATGTTTATATTTCGTCCCCAGCGTGGCAACCCATAAGGCCCATGTTAATATTTTTTTTAAATTTTGAATTAATTTCTTGTGCTTATTAGCAAATTTTCCTATAGGGAAGTAGCTATTACCGTATGTCTCATGGTAAGTGCATTAGTCTTCATTTGGGTTGGTTAAGTTGTTATCATCAACATATCTAGTATTCTAGTAATAAAACAAAATAGTTTTGATCAGAGCAACTTTTATGTTAACTTTATCAGCTTAACATGGAATTGTATGGTTGCCATTTCAATGAAAAGTATTGTATTTTGTTTATTAATTTATATTTAATATTTTTATGAAGAATATTCATATTGATGTGTAGGTGATAAACATGGTTTGTTTTTGTTGTTGACCTTAGTTAATAATTTTCTTTGACACAATGTATCTGGCAGCAACTTGAGCATTATCTGAAATTGTTTTTATAACACTCTACATTTATCAGTTCATCAAAATATCCTATTTTTCCTGTTTATGACAGTCAATAGTTTGAACCTTTATCTAATATTGCCTTTTCGTCCTCTTTAAGGCTTGTGCTTGTGAATTTAGATATTCTTGGATAAGACTTGAAATCACACAATAAAATCTCGTAATTTCTTTTATGGATTAATAGGATTTGTATAAATGCTTATGGTATACTTCTATAGTGATAATGACAAGCTATAATTTTGTTTATACAATAAGAAACAAAATAAAACATTGGTCAGTTTCTAAACTGAATCAAAATTAGGTAACTTAACTAATAATTTTATTCTAGAAATACTTCAATTTCACTTATCAAGATTTAAATATTATCTATAACTAAAATATCACCAAAACAATTTTACACTTACTTATGGTTCTATATGAGGCGTTTTATAGAAGGCATAATACAATAAAAAGAAAGAAAAGTGTACAAAAAGCATTTATTAAAAATACATTTAAAGTAAACCTCTTAATACATTAACCCTATTTACAATGGTTGTGACAATTTCAAAAATAATATATTCCTCCATATAGGAGTATAAAGTGTAATCAATTTACTAATTCTTATCATAAACATTATTATAAATAATGGCAACAAATTTATTTTTGTAAAATTTTGAAAAAAAACAACAAATATTTATTTTATCATTGACTGTAGTTTATTTCCAATCAACTGTTTTACAGCTTAACATTATTTACAATAGATAACAACTATATTATGTACACATGTGATAATATCTATGACATAAAACTAACATTCGACTGTGTTCAATGCCCCACTAGAAAAACAGGTCATGCTGCAGCACGGGCAGTGCAATGCTACGTCACAGTGGTGGATAGTTGTACTAAACTCTTACCATTAAAATCTTACAAACAACCAGCTTGTTTATTTACCTAAAACATATGGGAATGGCGATGGCAATGAATTTATCAATGAAATCTATACACTAGTGTGACGTCATGGATCCTGCAGCATGGCCTGTTTTCCTAGTGGGGCCTTGCTGTGTTAGTCTATGATAAAATCACATTAGATAAATATAACACAAACTTTATATAATTTTTCGTCATACTGGAACAAAAACAGCTGTTTTTAATACATGCTTGCGGGGTCTAAAGCAGCTCTTTTCTCCATAGGGAGTAAAAAGCGTTTTTAGTTCCTAGGGGGTAAAAGTCAGTTGTTGTTAACTCGGTTGTAAATTTCGATAGTAAACAATCGCATGTATCAATAATTAATTGTTTTAATTGGTTGTAGCTTTATTGTTGCATTCTTGTCAATAGTGTGACATATAGATCGTATAATGTTCACTAACACAATCGTTTTTGACAAAATAACTGAACAAATATCTATACAGCTGCTTTTTTGCATTAGTAAAATTGAAAACAAGTTAGATGTTGTTTTGAGAGGTTATCTTTACATGAAAATTTTTTTGCAACTCAGTTAGAAAATTGGTGCAGTATTACAAAAAATATAGTTCATAAGACCGACAAAAAGTGTCTTTGCCCTTGCTCATTTTCCAACCTCGATCTTAAAACTTGAGCTCAGGTCGAAAAGAGTCACTTTACGCCCTAGTGATAAAATATACTATTACATATGATTTGTATCTCATTTCCCACCTCACCTAACTTCTGAAAAGGTTAAATACAACTAAAAAATATGGGTTAAGTTACTCATAATGCATTTTTTAAGGTATTCATTTCAAATTGTGTTTGTCAGTGAAAAAGTAAAATTATAACTAAAGTTTAATATATAGGTGATAAATACGTAATTTACATTTCAAGGAACATTAATCTTAACAATAGCTTATTAATTTTATTGGTAACAATAACACTTGTACGCTTGAGGATAGAACATTTATAATAAATTAAACATTTAGGTTTTTGTACAGCTTTTATATATTTGTTATTCATTTGCATGATCGGGTAAATGTACAGTTTTCTTTTTTATATGATTGTGTAACCTGAATTTGTTTTGAGTATTTTTATATCTTGTAATTTCAATTTATAATGACACCTTAACATGGTGGTTTATTTGCTAGAAAATAAAATCATCAAATTTGTTGATAATGATAATGGTAGTTCAAACTGGTTGTAAGATGGCCAGTGTAATCAGATCAGAGCAACCACAACAATTTGGTTGGTATAAACTGGTTGGTAAATAAATACCAGCCTTTTAAAATCATCATGGTTAAGCTTTGCTGGAATTCTCATTATGCTCACATAAATAGAATACTATGATAAAATAATGTCACTTTCATTTTAAGAACTAATTACCCTTAGTCAAAACTCGAGATGAATGTAACCAAGAATACTTACTTCCATTAGAATGAAAATATCATTATAAAAAAATATTTTTCACCACAGTTAGTAGTCCTTAAAGCTTAGTGGCCATAACACAGGAAGAGAAAAATCTACACACTAAATTATCAGCTGGTTCCATACGAACCTACAATCTCTAACAAACTGGTGTACGATCCGGTGAGGAATCCGACAAATCCGAAGAGGATTACGAAGATGTTCTTCCAAATGACCCAGTAGCCTTTGCCTAAACCTCCTGGGACGTCCCAGAACACGACCATCTCCACGATGGAGGGGAACATGAGTCCCAGGAAAGAGAGACACAGAGCTCCAACCAGGGAGATGAACGGACCCAGGTTGGGGACCAGGATGGCTACGAATACTGTAACAGAAACAATGGTTACTGAGAGACCTATGTCATATGAATTGATGCATTCACATTTACTGAATTTAGATTCAAATATACTGAAATGTAATTGGAGCTTAAAGTCATCCCTGCTTGTTAAGTAAACAGGAAAAGAAATCAGGTTTGGGAGCTTAAGGTAACGTTACAGATACCGATAACGTTACAGGTAACGTGGCAGATTATTTGTAGTTTTCTTTCTATATTATTGGAAATGGATTGAGTTCAGTTAGCTCACAAGAGAAAAATAAAGTCCAGGGGCTGATAGAATCACGAATAAAGATCACACACTATAATATAGGGCTTTTGCCCACAGGGCTTCTTGACAAGTACCTTCAATACGATGAAATATTTGTTTTTTGGTACCGGTATGTATGTTCGTGTTCACACTACTTTAATTTACACATACTTTTTGACAAATAAATAAAATAAAAAAAATTAAGTACCTTTGACTAGTGATAGACTTTAGTATTCAACATAAAATAATAGTACACTAATTAAGTCAAAAGCAAGAACAACAATGCAAATACTGTTAATACTCTACCAATTTCTGAGTGAACCCCATTAGATACAGTTACATGCTATACTTATTTAAATGTATGTCTTAACTGAATTTTTGCTTGAAATCTTTTTTCAAATAGAGATAGGCATACTTAAGATAATTTATTTTTGTAAAAAAATACAACCGACTTCAAACGCTCTAAAAAGAATGAAATAATTTCAATAAAGTAAACTTTTGTATTAGGCAAGCTCACGTAATTTAAGTCGGCGCGGCTCTATGATGATTTTTGATAAAAAAATTGAAAGAGGGTGTCCATATTGCAGGTGACTATCTATAACTAAAGGTGTTAATCTGCATGTCTTTTTCATAGTTATGCGTTAAGTGTTATTTTATTGCCGTAATCAGAGATCGGCATTATAGTGGTATTAACGAGTATCTTTAAAAAGATTATAATGCATTTAAATGATTCTAACTTGGAAAAGTAACGTTTTAATACTAAACTAGCTCCTTTTCCCTATCATAATATCAAACTAAATTATTTTCCTATTCATATAGAACATTTGTGTGTGTTATTTTCATAATGCATTTATTTTGAAGTAAACATAAAATACAAGAAAATATTTCCTTTAATATATAAACAAAACAGTTCAGTATATTTTTTATATATTTAGGATATCCAGCTACAATTTATTGATTTTCAAAATACACACACAATATTAAATTTCAATCATATTTGCAGTTTGAGCCGCGCCGACTTGAAATACGCAAGCTTGCCTAATACAAAAGTTTACTTTATTGAAATTATTTCATTCTTTTTAGAGCGTTTGAAGTCGGTTGTATTTTTTTACAAAAATAAATTATTTCACGATTTTTAGTGACTGTATAATTTTTTATACATTAATTACTTGAGGATTTTTTATAAGCAAAACTGTTTGAAACAATCAAAAGTTCCACAGAACAATCATTATTTTAAAACTGCTTGAGTCACCTGTTCAGGTTACATAATCAATGGGTATAGAAATAAACATCTTTAAATATTCCTTAAGAAAGAAAGAGTTGTCCATTACATTAGGCCTAATGAAAAACTAATTGTCTTTTCTAGATACATTGAAATGTCAGACATCATCGTTTCCTGCAATCGGTGTACTTCTACATTATAAAAAGAAATACAGTAACGTCTCAAGCCTTTTGGAACAATATGAAAGTTATTCCTCAGCTACCAGCACTAAAAAATCTCTCAAAAGTGGAAAATTGGTCGTTAACACCATACTACCTTTCGTATAGTACCTTTGGAAAATATTATATGAAAGATTGGTTCAGCTAAAAGTGGTGTAAGTCATGTAGGGGGTTTTGTTAGCTCAAGATATAGCCTAGTCGAAATTGCAAATCATCTTCCTCTAGGACTTTCCGAAGCAGGCATAATAGTATTGATATGTTATAGTAACTGGGTAGAGAATATTAATAAACATTCCACATCTGCAAATGAAATATGTATATGAAAGATTGGTTCAGCTAAAAGTGGTGAAAGCCATGTAGGTGGTTTTGTTTGATCAAGATATAGCCTAGTCGAAATTGCAAATCATCTTCCTCTATGACTTTCCGAAGCAGGCATAATAGTATTGATATGATATAGTAACTGGGTAGAGAATATCAATAAACATTCCACATCTGCAAATGCATGTTTAGTAATTAAAATATTTAACACTTTTGAGACAATTGACGATTATGCACTGTCACACTTCTTAGGTCATGTAAGGAATAATTACATTTGATTGAGCGGAGCGAGCGAAGCGAGCGAAGCTCTTTGGGATCAACTTCAATGCAAACAATATAACACCATCACTCAATAACGGCTGAACACATTTCAGCCAAACTTAACAAGACTACTTAGACTAATAATGAGATGGTTTGTAAACAAACAAATTTCAATTAGATAATGCTAATGCAATTTAAAACGAACTTAAAATTTCAAATTTTTAACATTAGGCTTATGGGACTAAAGTAGCTATGACAGTTTTTTTGTTTACAAGAAAAATGTAAACAAGAGAATCATAAGGTATTTCTGAACTTTCTATACTTTTCTTTTAAACGTTTTTTAAACCATTCCTATAATTTTAATAAACAAGAAAATGCCGTTAAAACATTTTTTAAGGCGCGGAATTCACTGAAAATCGAGAAATTATACGGAACTACTTTCTCAATGCGCGGAGCATAAACAAGGAGCGGAGGGATACGGACCGGTGACTACTTTCTTGGGAACCTAGGTTCCTAGGTTATATAGCTATTTGTGTTGCCAGCTGATTAGAAACAGCCAATGTTAGAAATCAGGATTTAATAAGCGATATATCGAACCGCATCGAAATCTGTATTTAATCCGATAATACCTCATAGGTTATATTAAGTTGAATTACTTCAACGGTACAGTAAGTTATTACACTTATTGATAAAACGCAGATTGAACACTGATCTAATTTAGGCAGGTGGGGAGGTAGGTCGGGGTTTATGAGCATTTGTGACTACATTAAGTGTTTTGAAGTAAGGTTAGATTAGGAAGGTAAAGTGTAGGTTATAGGTAGGTGATCGGGTTGTTTATTTGTGTTGCACCATATAGTTTTTATCTTTTGGAATGGAATAGTTGGTTAAGGTTAAACGGGGAAACGATTTCAAAAATGCTTGCATATGGTCTTAACTTAACAAACCATCTACAGTATTCTAGCTTTGACTTTATATAAAGTCAATGATTCTAGCAAATTATTACATACTGACCAATAGAAAAGAGAACATTTGGTTTTGGATCTTTGACCATAGCAAAACTAACATATAATTTATGGAATGTGAAAAGTTGTATATCATTATATACTATTCTGTAATATTAATAATTGTTCGGCAAATCCTCATTTTAATGGCTCGGCTGAAAATGGAATCTGCATTTTGTGAAACAGTTATTTGGTAACAATTCAGTCATTTCAAATGTTGATAAAATTTCCTTTCTCTTTTTTATACTTTAATGCCCTTTTTGGATGTTAATATCAGATTCCAACTACTGTAATATTTTCCTGGTCAAAACTACCTTACACTTCTCGAAGAGGTAAATTTGAATTATTATAATTTTAATCTTTAAAACCAGCATTAGTAAATAAATCTATTGACCTTTTTGCATTTCGTTACTTATACAAATATCAAATCACGTTTGTTCCGCTCAACTGGCTTTCACCTCTCTGAAAGCAACCCTAGTTTATATTTAGACCTGTTTTACGAATGCTTTGGTTTTCACAATACACCTTAATTACTTGTCAATATTATACAGCTATTCACTGAAACATATATGTTTTTGTAAGTCAGAATATTCAATACTAAAAACAGAATTACTGTATACACAAATCAGGTCAAACGTTAAAATAAATTTTTTATAGTAACCAAAACAAAATGCATTTTTCTCAATGTAATTCAGGTTCCATGGCAAGAAATAGTTTATTGATCAATATGAAGCAACTGTTTCATGAAGAATTGTCTGTAGCTTCATTTAAATGGTTTCAACTAACAGCTGTAGGAATGTTATTATTATTTATTGCCTTCTCTGCACAAATGTAAACAATCTGCACAAATGTAAACAAAATAAATGATGAATATTTAAGGTTTTCAGAATTTTTCACCGAAACAAATATTATACTCAAACATAATATATAAGGTACCAAATAGAAACTCTCCTGGTTATTTTGGTGTTGGAACCACACTGATCGGTAAAAGAATCACAGAGAAATTGGTGAACATACATAGAAAAAAAAAAACATCGCCACAAACAAATTGAGAACCTCCTCCTTTTGTTGGTAGTGGGGAAGTCGGTTAAAAAATATACTAAATAGAGATTTGATTGATTTTATTTTATTTGAATTTTTAATTTTAGAAAGGAAATAAAAATGTAACACACATAATTTTTTTAGGCTTAACCTGATTTGTTCACACAATAATTAAATCAACAAATTAAGTTAAATTACTCAATCAAGCTTGTTTCCTTTTAAACCTTTACCAACGATGGCAAACATACTGTTCAACACATACTGCATGATAATTACATAAATTCAAATATATGATTTCTTAACTTATTGCCCGCAATGTGATACAAATTGTTATATAATTCTATGAACAACACAATGTCAAGATTTTTCGTCTTAAGAAATACAAAATTGTACGCAACATGGAACCTGAAATTTGTGTTTGTAAATTACTAAAAATGTTTGAGGTATTTAACTAGTAGCAGTAACTAGAAACTGTTAACTTGTTAGTTACAGAAGTGTTTATTTACCTGAGCCACACACCAACACTATCCTGATGGTGTATTCTGCCAGTGCAGGATGGCTGCTGAACCTATGTTTGCTGGCTTTCCAAATGATTTCCAAAGGAACGTAAAACTGCAACGCGTAAGTGAAGAATATGGCGATTGCAATCATGACTTTAACTGACTGCGCTAATCTGTAAACAATAAATAAATTAGTTGCTACATTCCCATAGGCCTTCTGAGTTCGCAGACTATTCTAGTTTTAGATGAAAGATTGAGATTTTTCAAAGGATTTTTTATACTGAGTATTAATTGGGTTAACTTATAATCTTAGATGGCATTGGATGGGGGATTTACAAGATTTATAACCATTTGTGGGGCAGCTCAAATCTTTTCGAAGAAGGAAAATAAAGAAATACTACAGTTTTGGAAGATGAGAAATCCTCAATCATTAACAAATACTAATTACTAGCTGAGACTTTGAATGCATACACACCAGATAAATACAGAACTATTTTAAAACTTGAGAAAGGAACAAGGCGTTATAAAGTGTAGTAAAGTGGTTTTATAAGTTTTGGAGTCCACACAGATCTGTTGTCCATAGATCTTGGTCAAAAACAAAGCTTTAATATGTTCTCAATTATATTAATTCTATACCCACCCTCATATTTCAGTACAAAATATGCATTTGCATACAACACAAGGTTTTGTTGCTGTTTTAAATAATTGATTGAGTGATATAATTGACACAGCTATTTAGTTATTATACAAGTCAGTTTTATCTGAACCAGCTAAACAACACATTAGGTATGTCCGCACTAGTGTACTTTGTGTGTGCCAAGCTATCAAGGTACTCAAGGTGAATCAAGGTATTCATGAATACCTTGATGCAAATAACGCATGTCCGAATTGATTCGGAAGAAGCTCCATTCCATAGCGTACAGGGTAGCGCAAGACGATCTAACAGCCTCGGATTTCTATGTTTTAACTTCAAGTTCGCATTGTAGTAGTTTGAAGCAACATGAATAACGAAGAAACAATTCATAGAAGATGAATTAATTGATTTATCACTCTCTTGGGTGTTTGTGGGACATAGGTACTGAGTAAATTTTACACCAAACATTAGTAAATGAAGCATGTTTAGATTTAGCATTAAAATACAGCATGACTGAGAAGGAAAAGGCATGAAAAAAAGTGAGGCGTGAGTGTGGACAGCTGATAGGCATACAGTAGAACCCCTCATATCCAAACCTCAGAATAACCTACTCCTCAGGATATCCAACCTAGTGTCCGACCGGGACCGTGTTTCCAAAAGGTAGATCACGGCAGACGATTACCAAAGTAGCAGAGACTGCAAGTTACGCTCACGGGTGTTGCCGCAGTTGCGAGAGACGATTACCGAAGTTGTGGAGACTGCAAGTTACACTCACGGGTGTTGCCGCGTTTGCATGAGACAATTACCAAAGTCGTGGAGACTGCAAGTTACGCTCACGGATGTTGCCGCGGTCGCAAGAGACGATTACCGATGTTGCGGAGACTGCAGGATATGCACATCCTGATATCCGTCCTTTTAGCTGTTCCAACCATGGCCCGTTCCCGTCATGGTTGGATATGAGGGGTTCTACTGTACCTCAAAGTGCATGCAATCACGCACGCGTTGTTACATGTCGAATTGAAAGTTGAAAGGCATGATGAAATTGAAAGCCCACAAGCGTGGAACAGAGTGAGCTATGTAAAATAACTGATTTCTTTCAAATACACCAATTTTTTGACTAACCTCGTAAACCATAGCATCTTCTATGGCATAGTAATAATTAAGGGAGGAAATAAAAAGCTTAAACCTAAGCACACTCTGTGAAGTAGCTCATCTAGTTGTTATCATAGTTATATTCTTTTTTTAATTTGTTACAACTGGTCCATTGATGAGTTGTATACTTCAGTATCCAAAATTCAATGATAATATACAACCAAGTGAAAGTGTAAATGTTGAGTTAAGATACTCACAATTCGTCAGGCAAGTTGAGTGTGATGCTGCCCTTAGTTGCTGCTCCGAAGCGAAGGTAGCCCAGGAAGCCCAGTATGGAATACAGCATCACAGTGACGAACATCCCAATGTTCAAAACTCCCGGACATCCAAGGAAGTTCTCTGGTGTCTTCATGTTGTTTTCCAAAGGCATCACCTACAGATAAAAACAATTAATTTTATTATTGTATTTTGTGGTATTACACTCGTCTTTGGGATGTACGGGCTTCAAGACATAGTTTATAGGTCCATCTATAAAATAAAACAAAATAGTAGGCCAAGGACAACCGGCACTGGTGTAATGAGAATTCTCTCCAAATTAAATAAGTATTTCTCATTCATTAATGGGTTAGAGCTACCGGTATTTAAATTTCTAATCATATAAATTGTGAACTATTTTGGGACTTCAAATATTTCAAAAAAACAACTAAAGTATCTTATTAATCCTTTGTGACTACCTACTGAGACAAAAAAATGTGATGAAAGTTGGTACTATAAGAGTTTTGTAGAGTTAACATTGAACATAGAAATACGTTGGGTGGAACCTATAAAATTCAATGAATTTAAATTCATTACTCCAGCTGTTTATCCATCGACAAAATCCTATGAGCATGAATCAGCACAACAACTGTGAGTAATCAAGCTTGTTTTATTTACCACTCCAATTCCTTCAAGGGCGAAAATCGCTGTTCCAAAAAAGAGAGGCCATTTGGTCACTGGTGCGAAAGCAGGGCGGCTGTCAAAGGGAGGCAGATCCTGGAAGAGGTAGTAGATGGTGATGGCGATGCCCATGGCTATACACACGTTGGCTACCATAGAGAGGGGTGCGAGATACTTGAGGTTCCTGATCATGTTAATAGCGATCAGAGGCGGAAGACAGCATAACATGTAAATCCTCACATCTATGCCACTGTCGATGTACAAGTCGAACACCTGAAGTGAAGAAATGTGTATCATTAATCAACATTAATAGAGTTTGTGCATGCGGATGCGCATATTTTAACCTGAATAAATGGATTATGATTATAGAATCATTGACTTTGTTGGATACTGAAGTAGAAATTCCATTTATATGGTCCATCTTTTTATTTCAATAAAACATACTTGCATAGTACTGACAGTTCTGGTCTGACATAGAGATGCTTTAGTTTGGAAAACCACCAGTTTTCTTTACAGTTTGGCTTGGTCAAAGGTTGGTGAGCACAACATAATCAATTGACACAAGCTCACTCTGTGGGTGGCTAAATTATTTTCAATCTAAACCTGAAATCCTGTACATTTTTAACATGGACATGGGTTGACTATTTCTCTCCATAGTCAACGGTAGAATGGAGGGTGAAGTCATGTGTAGATGTTACTTTCTAAAAACAGCTAGATCCTAATGTTATGACTATTGGGTTCAGTTTCAAATCATAAGACTATTGGGTTCAGTTTCAAATCATAAAAAAAGCAACTGGTTTTCACCGGTAAGTTAAGAGTCGGTAGGACCTAAGCTCCAGCTATCTTGGATTTTCTGTCCATAACAGCAATAATGGTTGAAGCATATTATGGCATTGTTTATTAAGATAAAAAGTTGCAAAATATGTCATTTTAAAGCTATTGAAACCGTGGATGTGATTTGCCATCTACTTTCTAATTTCAATTATTATTTTCTCAAACTACATAAATATATTGACTTAAACTGTTTTAAAAATCCGAAAAGTAATTCACACGAAAAATATATTTAAGAATCACATAAAACTTTTCCTCTCGTTAATTAAGCTTACAGTGCATGATTAATATGCTTCAAAGTTAATGCATGTTTTTGCTGATTGGCGCTAAGGTAACCACTGTCCACTGTTAAGCCTGGCATCTGACATCATCAACAATGAAAAATTATTAACTCATGCTGACTTAATGACTTTCTACTGAATTATAGACAAGCACTATAAACTCTAAGTTACCCGGAAAGGTCATCTCACAAAATATTAAGTATTCATGTACTTGGACCCAACACTTGAAACTTCTTATTGTTTGTATTGCTTTTTTTATAGTTACCTGTTTTAGATTAGACGTAACAAACACAATATACACACAGCAGCAGCCTAGCAGATCCAACACCAAAAAAGTATTCACCATAAACCTGAAAGAAATTAAGGCAAGAATAATTTATTTTATAGTGGATGCGTTTTAAATTCACTTTATGGCTTCTGGGAATCCAGAAACTAAAAAGTATGGTGGTTCTAAACCTGAGTCATAACATAAAGATGGTAATACTGGAACTATCTTACAGAAACTACTGTATAAGTAAATTTTCGACAAGGAACTCGTATAAGGACTCTGTCTTTGACCAAAAAAATAATTACAGAAACCCTGAAAATATTTTAAATATTTAGAGCGTATTCAAACATTTCTGGTTCAAAAAAAAAAAAAAAAAAATTGTGTCAAAAAGTATTTTGCTCAATATTACAATACAGTGAATAACATCACCAAACCAAAATAACACTGGTATAGAGGCGTCACACTTTCCGAATTGACGGCCCAAATGATTTGCCCCTCTAACCAGCAAATACCATTTTAGGAAATAAAAAAAAACGCCCCGTTTCTTTTAGATTATACAACCTACACCGCCATCCTTTCAAATATGCTGCCCTGAAATATTTGCGTTGTGACCATCTCCCATTACTCCAAATGGCTATCATCAACTGATGATCTACTGCTGAACAAAAAAATACATAGCAGATGCAGATTATTTGTAGCTACTGGATAGAAGTGTGTCATTGCCTGAGTTCAAACGGAAAAGTAGCGAATTTCTCTCCTCTAGGTAGCACCAAACATTCTGTGTTAGATCCTCTACGACCACATACTTCACGGTAGCATCTGCATCATCTTGGTCATCCCCCGGACCCCCGCAATCACAGTGATGTCGTAGTGTTATCTCCCTCGATTGCGGCGACATTACGGTTATCTCCCGCAACTATGGCAACATCGTGATCATTTCTCACAATAACGGAAACATTACGGCCATCTTCCTCGTACGCGATTTACATAAGATGACTACATGAGAAAGAACAAATTTGTGGTGGATTTTATTGATCATCATTAAAAAGATAAAACTTTCCGGATACAAAATGAATTTACGCCACACTACATTATTTTGACGAACTTCCCACGCAAGGATTTAGTCCAGAAAACAGCTGTTTGCCGCCAGCTTATTCAAATGGGGTTTCATTGCGTACTACTGTACTGCAATGAGTTTTACTGGACACCAATCAGCTGATTATACTGTGTTTAGGTGGCATTGAGTGGTTATAAACAAAAACATAACATGACCAGTGATTTTTAGTCCTTTAGTTGGTGGAAATATAAAAGGATTTGTACGGATTTAGTAGTATGGCGTAAACTATCGTACGTAACTCGTCCAGAATGTGTTTACCGGACTCGTATGGTAATCCTGTACTCGACTTCGTCTCGCACGGGAACGACCACACTTGTCCGGTAAACACTTATTTTCAGGACTAGTAACGTAATATACTATTACAATTCACATACTTTTTCCCTGTCGTAAAAATAGAAGTTCAATTCGTTCTCCCAGTCGGCTGAATACCTGAGAGTTTTCGCTGGAATTTTGGCTTTAAAGTTTTGTTTAAAAAAAAATTATTTTAGTTTTTCGAGTTATTACTTTGTCTCAAAGCTTGCATGTACAGTAGCATATTAAATATGTAGATAGAAAGATTGATTGAAGGATACTAAAAATACTATTTAATTTAATTTTTATAATTTTTGTTGAATGTTGTATTTTGACTGTATCTAATTAAATTTATGTATTTGAGTAAGGAGTGGGTAAAGTATTGAGGGGGCACAAAAAATTACTCTCCCATGTTTGGGGGAAACCCCTTGTACTTGCTCTGTCTCTTTATTAAAGTTATCATTATTGTAATTAATTGTCAATTTGAGATGGAGACGACATCTAGCACCAACAATATGTAATATTTTTACCCAAATATGAGTGAAGGATGAGTGTAGAATGGAGTGAGGGGATCTGTGTAGCTTTCTACTGACCAAGACCAGCTGTTTAATTTAACCAGTATCAATTATTTACTGTCCAATGATCAGGGACACCTGGGTTCAGTTTCAAACCACCGTGAAGCTACTGACTTCTCTCAGGATTGATATGGCAACCTTTTTATTGTCAGGCAACCACTATAACCACCCAGCTACCCAGCCAGCTCAACACTGATTCCACCTACCTTGCTGTTGATGCAAATTTTTGAACTTTCTGAGGACCTTCGAGAAATGCTACTTCAGCTACATCTGCGAACCCCAAAGATGGAAGTTTTCTCCTTTGACACAACTGGTGGGCACACTGAACCTGTAAAGGTACGGTATTTATTTAAAACTTGGTGCTTTATCCGTGCTTTGTAATAGTGTGTGAGCATAGTCACAGATATGTTAGCTCATGATAAAAAAAATTAAAAAAAACTCTACTAAAAACCTGTTCTTGTATATTATTCAGAGTAAATAAACTTACCACATAGTTTTACATCACAATGAATATCATTTTTGTCATTCACCTGTGTAACATTTTAAAGAAAATGTATTTAAATAAATTGAATGTAACTATTTAAATAGGCTAAACCCCCTTGGACCAAAACGTAACGGAGGGTTTCAAAACGGTACTACACAGTACACGTTCATAATGGCTTTAGAAATTTACCAACGGCTTTAAAAATATAAAATCTTTTTACCCGGGACCCCCCTCCTTTCTTGAAAACTGGAATCAGTTCCATAGCAATCAACTGGCTCTTGCATCAAAAGCTCATGTCAAAAAAGTCTAGCTGAGTTTTCCAAGGGGCAGAAGAGGAGAGTAAAGTCCGTTCTTCTCTTAGGTAGCCTATTTTAATTGTGCTGTTTTTCTAGAAGTGAAGAGGACCACCACTTAACAAGTGGAAACCCGCTTTTCCCCAATCCAATCTTCACTTTTACGCCTAGGAAAACCCAGCTTAACTAAATAATAAATACATTTTTGTTATCAATGTATATACACAATGTTACTTAAAACCTTAAAACTACTAAAACATTTTTTGGCTGAACATCAAAATTTTAAATTGTTTATTTTGTTGGATCCACTAAAAGATTTTAAATCTGACCGGTCGGGTAATAAAGTTATGTAAACAAACAAATTTGACAAATTTGAACTTCGTGAAAACTGTTTGAAATCTATAGTAATGCTTTTTATCTACTCGGAGGTCAAAAGTGATTGATGGGAATGTTATCAAGCACACACCATCTTCGCAGTTGCTGAACAGCTCTTGATAGATAACCTGATACAGGTGCACCATTGACAATCATATAACAAAACGTGCAGATTAGTGTGACAGAGATTGATCATTAGCTAAGTCAGAGAGATTATAGGATTTGTGACTGAATAGGTATTTTCCAGCTTTGTTTAATTATATAAATCAAAGAAGTGAAGATAAACTCATAGTTAACGAAAGTATGAGGTTTAACTAGATGGTTGTAACTAAATACATATCGAGAGAAGGTGGTTGTATGACAGTGTGTGGCTTTGAAACGAAAGTTAACAATGTTAAGCCGCAATTAAACTAAGAGTGAAATTTCAAATTTTGGTTTAAACTCTGGTGTAAATGTGGCTAATTTCATTATAAACTTACTAACTCTAAACTTTGTTGTACGGTAATCAAGCTTTAGACAAGTGCTGTAAACAAATATTTACAACACTCTCGGATAGTTACCGACTTATTGTGGAAGACATATTTTCTTTTCATTTTCGTTCTAAATTTGTAAAAAAAACCAGGGTGCTTTGGATTGTGGTACACTTTTGTTTGTATCACGTGTATTGAAACCACCCCTCTCACACAAAATTCTGAGATGTTAATCACTAGACTAGCAACACACCCCCAAGCCTTTCAACCTGACAAGGAAACTATCGAATGATTACCAAAATTGTAAAGGTTCTGTCGCATAAATCAAATGACTAATAAACTTACCAGAATGTTTACACAGTATGTAGATATGAGGCCAACGGAAAACGTAGCGATCAGTCCGAACAGGAGACCAGCGTTGGCAAAGGCCTGAGGCATTGCTAGGATCCCTGTCCCTAAACTGCCTTTCAGCAGATGGATCAGGGTTTCAGCATCTCTGAAACAAAAAAATCTTTTTTAATCACTTCCAAGGGCCCAGAGCTAAAACCCTCCAGGAAACGGTTCTCCTTTCCCATAAGTCATTATGATAATCATCCCTTTCATTTCCTCTTCTCAGTTCTCACATAAACAAATCTACTAGCTTGGAAAAAATAAAAATAAAATTTGTTTATTATTTGTAGGTGGTTTACTAGTTTGAAAATTCAAAAAAAATTTACTTCAAACTATACATTACATAGATAGGATGAGGAATGCTGATCAACTAAATTAATTTAATGTTTATTAATTTATTGTTTTAATTCAATAAACAATTCCCAGTAAAGTTCAAATCATTAATTTTCTATTGTGGAACAATTCCCTTGAGTTGGTTAGTCTATGATGATTCTACCTCAAATTAAGATTTATTATATTTAACGAAGTCCATTGTTTTATTGTTGCTCTGATTTTGAGTTATTACATGAATATCACTCCAGTATACATCACCTTTAACCTATTTATATGCTTATAATAACCTATTATTATGATGGTTTATATTTTACCATCACTGTCATTAAGTTTAAAACAAATATATCTTTATATTTATCCACAATTACCTACTAAATAATTAGTAAAAGATTGGAATGCACTATATCATGACATTTTTGGAGTAATTTTAATTGATTCGGCCTACTAACATTGATTCATAATAAAATTTTACCTAACTAATGAGATTTTTGAATTCGTAATCCCATTTTACAGGAAAAAAATATGCCTATGTAAAACGCATTTTAATATAAAACCCAATTAATATAGTTACTGGTATGTGCTAAATAATATGTGCATTAGCATAGTTAACACTTAACAGTGGCACATTCTTAACTGTAGTAGGTCACATGCCTATAACAATTTTTAACTATTGCATCGATGTTGCTACCTGGCTGTCAGGAATGAAGTCCATTTAACGGGATCCGGATTATTGAGTGTTTACTGTATTATAGTTTATCCTAATGGTAGTAGGACCATATTGATATTCCGTGTAAAAATATCAATACAACATTTGTATTTACCACTTATGGAAGTTTTAGTAAACTCACGTGGTGGGATGCGCTACATTCCTGTTGTTGTAGGGGTTGTATTTGTTGCGTGTTGTTCCGTTGGTCTGTTGAACAACAACCACCGTGACTAGGTTGGTAGAACTGTTGTTTGTCGACATGGCTATGGCTACTCTCACAAAACAGGCTGCCACTCGTACAACTCATATATCTGCAACTATGTAACAAATCATCATGTAAAACTTTACCCACTAAACGTTTTTAAAGTTGATAAGATTATTTAAATAATTTCAGCTTTTAAATAACTTTTACCAAATTAAAACATGAAAAAATAATCCGTCTAAACTTTTTTTGATAAAAAAAAACGGAAGAATAACCAATAACGTAATGAAAACCTACTCTCCACCCAACTGATGAGGTATTATGCAAGGCATTTGATAATTTTCCTCTAGTCTAGACATTGTCTAGATCTGTGACAACTTTGTTTGGTTATAAAGATAGTTGCGTTTCGATGATATAACGAAGAATCTGTTTACTAATTTTTGTATGTTATCAATTAGGCTACAGGTCATGTTAAATAATGTTTTGTAAAAACTCGTGACACAACCGATTGCTTATCGTGAATAACAAAAATAAATAAATACTTAAATTCCATTTAAGACACGTCTGTCTCCGTCAGTAGGCCTACATGTTTAATGTACTATTCGTTAATTTATTTTGCGTGCCACAAATGAATGTATATATTTTTAAATTTAAATTTTACATCTTGACGAGTCCAATTTGGATATAATGTTTCTGTTAACCACTAGAAAATGACATATCTGGCGAAACATGTAGTGAGTAGTGAAATTCAAACACTATAGTGCAAGACGAGGTACGTCATATTTTAAGAAATAACATTTGACTATACGTATCAGATTAGCTATTATTACTTATTACGTATTAAATAAAAGCTTGTGATTCAGTAAATAAATATCACATTTTACTGTCTATCATTATCAATACAATTGTATAAAAAAAAAATTGGTAATTTTGTAAACACTATTTCTAAGATTGAATGGGCTGTGATGCAGTTGGAAACACAAGTTATTTACGGGGTTAAGTACACCCTACTGTACCAAGACGTTGTTTCTTCATCCCATTGTCTTTCAAGTTTTCCATGTCATTCTTATTACATTATTACATTATTACAAGAAGCTCTCGAAGTCATTGTTTGCAATAAGAAGAATAAGAAGCATAACGGATGAAGAAACAGCCCTTATGGCATATCATGCACTGTTTGCCAGTCACATTAGATACGGCATTGTGGCTTGGGGATCTTCAGCACAGAACAAATTAGACCAACTACTCTTGATCCAGAAGAAAGTCATTAGAACAATATTCCGGAAAAATTACCAAGAACACTGCAAGCCACTCTTCAAGAACCACAAGATCCTGACCATCACATCCACATACATCCTGGAGACCATAATCCTCATAGTAAATTCAAATCCAATCCTTCGATCCAGTCAACACAACCACAATACCCGCAACAAAAACAACATTCACCTTCCACGCCACAGACTAAACAAAACCAGTAAATCACCATCTCACTCAGGATCATCCCTCTACAATCTCCTGCCACAACACATAAAAAAAATTAACAAGCCAAACATCTTCATAAAGTCACTAAAAGAGTACTTAACAGTCAGACCCTACTACTCACTATCAGAATACACTAAAGAACATACATACCAACACCTCAAATAGGGCCCATCAAAGCTACTTCAATCAAATATTGACGATTCCCCTATCACCAGATTGTGGAGAAGACATCGAAGGTAAAGGTAAAGGATTATAGTCTGGAAACATGAAAGAAATCTTGATGCTATATAACATTATTTAACTATCTGCTATTCTCACGTTGTATAACGCTGTTTGAATCTTTAAATGAGTCCTTTAAATTTGTTGAGAATATCTGGTACATTATTGCAATTTACTACAAGCTAAACTGCATTATAATTTTAAATGTTTTGTACCATCAATTTTATAACCTTAAAGTTATTAAACGCACACATAAGTTTTACAGCTTATTCTATTTGATCTGTTACAACCAGTTGTATGGTAGTGTAAAACTAAAAGCATTAGTAAAATACAAAGGAAACAAATAGATAATTGTAATTTTATTACTTTTCTGATGGAAACAAATCAATAAAACAATCTTCTGATCCTCAAATAAATAATGTTTTAAATAACCGGTTTCCATACAATTTTTTATTTTTGTGAAGTAATCATCTCATCTATATTTTTCTGTATAACACCACCAGAAGGTTGTCCTCCAGATATTAGCCTACTTCGCTGATGCATCGATAGCGATGAATTGACTTCATGGTATCGACTATCCAAACTCAGCTAACTCACTATCAAGGATGGTAAAAATGTATTTTTAATAACTAGCTAGAACTAAAATAAACTACCGGTATTACTTAAATAAGTGTATGTGAAAATCCACTCACCGCAAGAGTATACCATTCAGAAGACTGTGTGACTAGCAAAACGCAAATATTAAACAACCGCATGTAGAGGAAGTTCGAAATCAGTATCATATCACAAAATGATAGTTACTACTTACTAAAGCTGGAGGAAACTGAATAGCAGTGACCAAAACACTAAACAGTAATCAGGCACACCTCTATTTAGTAAGCAATGTACCAACTGTCAATTAAAGGTTATACTGCATGATAAAATTCATTTATTTAGTTAAAAACTGATTGATCACTTGATCAGTTTTAACAAATACAAGTTTTCGTTTTCGGTGTTACTGTTAGGACAATCCGTTGCAATGTAAAACTTGAGACGTTTCGTGCTGAGGATAATAAAAATGGGGTGTTTTAAGGTCGTAATGTTTAATTATTTTAAAATCCCATGACTGGCTGGGTGGCCGAGTGGTTATAGTGTTCGCCTAACAACCAAAATGTTGCCGGTTCGATCCTGAGAAAAGACCATAGACTTAAATGGCTCGAAACTGAACCCAGTTGTTCCTGATCATGAGCTTTAAATAAATTATCCTGGATAATTGAACAGCTAAGTCAGTAACAACAGTTACAGATCATATCACGCCATCCTTCACTTAAATGTTGGAATACGCACCTGGGGGCTCGTCACGCGTAGATTTTTATCTCAATTATCGCAATGATTGATAATTGATGAATAATTATTGATAACTGGTATTCATGCGTTTATTTTATATCCTATCCTATAATATAAAACAAGCACATGTACGGGTGATTTTTTTTCTGGCCGAGGAGTTTTGATTTTCTTTTTAAGGGGTATTTGGCCACGAGGAATTGATTGGAGTTGGTCACAAGGCTGGACAAAATCCAGTTTCCGTCACACAGCCTTTTACCTTTATCATTTTGATTCACGTGTAAACAAAAGTAACTATTGGCTTTGAGTATTTTTCTAGTAGGTAATCGTGGCTTTGACTATTAATACAAAATGTTATTGGTTAGTTTGGGCCAAAAGTTTTAAAGAATAGTTATACTCAGTTTGGTTTACATACATACTGTTAAATGTTTTCAAGGTTAATTTACAAGATTAATAATGAAACGCGGAAGACCTCCGAATCGAATATAAGTAATCCGAAAGGGACAGAAGCTACAGTCGATTCTCAGGAAAGAAATTTCACGTCCTCGTCTACAACCGAGCCAGTTCCAACCAGCTCATACATCTCACCAAATGTCTCAAAACCTCGGCGAAGTCGCGCTTCGAAGAATAAAAGGAGAGAAATAATGTAAGATCTTATGGCCGTGCAGAATAAATGAACCACAGGCCGATCATCTTGAGCAGGAGTGTCGACGAATCGCTGCAAGACGTTTGGAAGAACGTCAGCGAACTGCAATTCCTCAAACCTATTAAGTCACCATGTCAGCGGATTTTGGATATTCACAATTGGAACAGTTTGACGTGTCATGAAAGCACACGACATGTGTCCGAACTGATCCGCGATCAGAAGGTAGTTCTTCAAAATCCAAACGGATCCAGAAATCTGCCAGGTAGAAAATGGAGTCACTTGAAACATCCAGTTTCATCCGCTAGGAGTTGCGGATAGCCTCTACTCCCCGTAGCCTACAGGTAGCTTTAAACACACTATTCCGTAACATTTCAATTAATTCAAAATGTAAAAAAAAAACTTTAATTAGCTTTAAGTTTATATAACCGTACGTACAGTTATGTCAGTGGTAAATATTAAAACGAAATGTTATTACTCAAGTTACGGTACTGCAAATAATCTAAATGCTATGATCTATGAAACGGGTGTAATTATACACACAAAACACAGTTGATATAATTTCAGCGATTATGTTTTTGGTTTGTAATAAACCTATTTTTGTAAATGATAAAAAAGTGTCTGATCATGATATTATTTAAACTGTTAAACCCAATTAACCAAACCCAGCAAGGCTCGGTCCCCCGGTACTGTATGATTCAAAACTCGTGTGGAACAACTTCTTCTCATGAAAAAGATTCATCCTAAAAGGGGGTTTCAAAAAGAAACATCCTAAACTTGAATGTTCCATTCGCCGCAGCACGGATAGTACCGGCAGTAGTTACTTTATTTCACTAAAACGGATAGTTCCGAAAGCAACACTGATAATTAATTCTGACAATCCGGAAGACAAGTGATGATGAAATTGAATACATAAAATTATTGCCTTTTCATCATTATAATTTTGAAATACTTAATTTTTATAAACAACCCGTTCGTCAGATTATTTGTTATCGCTTCTGTAGGCTTTGTAGGTTCTCTGTAACAATCAACAAGTACCAGCCACAAATTATTGTCAACTTGACACGACGTTATCTCTCTAATCACCTTGCCCGTCACATGTGTTACGTCTTGCACATGGCCAGGAAAACCATCAACTGTTTGCCTTCTATGTACTGTACTGGATACTAAAATCAACAGGAAACCTAGTATACGGACGTTTTATTTAGATTAGTTGATTTTAACATGGAGAACGAGTTTTAACATAGTTTGAGTCTCAGAGGATACTGGTTTCGGTTGGTCAACCCACGGATTCAGATTTGAAGTATCGTTTTCAAGTAGGACACCCAGGCAGTAAATAATCATCTTGATCACTGGAATCATGATTAGTTGTCAGCGACAACTTGTAATTACACAAACACGCAAGAAGACATGAACACGAATAAATGCAACGAGAATTTGGTCATACTGACTGACACATGGATGTATATCGTATTGTTAAATCGACCGACGACGAGTAAAATAAAATCGGATTTATTTCCGCAACAGATTAAGTAAGCTATAAAGTTTCATTTAGCTGCTCATTTGTTCGCTTAAGGCGCTGTTGACAAGGAGTCAGCGTCAGTTGATGCTAAGATGACAACCGCTCAACAGAAAGCTTTTTGTGTTTAAGGCAGAAGTGGATGACAGTTGTTCAGTGTGCATTTCGAACGAAGTATGGTGTTCATAGGTGGTGTATTAAACGTTGGTATAAACAGTTTACAGAGAATGGGTGGGTTTTTGTACAAGAGAAAAGTTCTGGACGAAAAGTGAGGAACGAGTTTGAGTATCGGGTTGATTGCTCGAGTGTCTGGAGATAGGTAGTCATATTGAACATCTCTGAAGTACAGTAGTTATTGAATAAAAAAACTGTTTAAATACCCTTTACAATGATGTATAACAGAAGGTTCTATTATGTTCCTACCATTAAATACACATTTTTAAAGTTGTATTTTTTATCAACCTGTACATTATGTTATATAAAGTTTCATTGCTTTGGGCTGAGGTACAACGAATCTACAATTATTTTACAACTTAATTTACCAATAATCCACAGGTAGATAAGGGAAAAGACTAAATCTTCTTGAAATTTTATCCCCTTAAGAGTTCGAATCCCTGATGACTGAGCGCGTTAAAAAAGATGAATTCCCCAGAAGTTATTTAGTTTATTAGACAAAGTCACCCACACAATCACCCTAGAATTGTTTTTATTTCCAACTGATGCCTACCCAATCATTACAGAATTTTTAATTTAAAACTACTTCCAACGATATATTGTAACAAAAAAATTGAAGACAATATATTAACTTATTAACTCACTTTGTATTTGTGCAAATACGTAGTGAAGGCGTAACTACGAACCACAATCTACGCTGTACGCGCGGCTGCTTCCACAACAATAATGAAGGCTTTACAAGGGTAAATTTATGCATCAATTTACGCCCCATTACTGATCTGTCAGTCATATTATTTCTGTCGCGGAATATTACATGATGAAACTGCGTCATCTATTCAATTGGTATCTGGCTAAACGAATTTTATATTAAAACTTTTGTTATTTATTTACTTACGGTTCGTTCATCTATAAAAGTTTATTTATTTATTTTACTTATCTTGTATACACACTTGGGTGCTGAATCCTTGACCGTTGACACGACGGATTGCGTCATATCTATAACTAATCTAACATTTGAAAAATAGTTTGAGCACAGGAAAATATAAAATACATAAGTTGGATGAGGCAGTCAAACAAGATCAAAAGTTAGGTTAGGAATCTTCAGCATAGTTTAGCCTAACACGCTATAAAATTATTGGAAATAGAATAAATAAATAAAACTTAGTAGTGGTGACTTAGTAGTACAGTAGTTTGGTTAAATAAGTTTACTTCTTCACCTGAAGACGGGGTCAGATTTCAGATCTTGAAACGTGGTGAAAACTGTTTTACTAATCGTAATAGAAACTGTTCGGAATAACACGAAAATTAATAAATACAACAACAACATGAACATATTAAATAATTATATAGTATGTACTAAAATAATTTCTGATCAATCAGTCAATCAAGAAATTATTTAAGATGGGAGTGCCACTATGTGCGTATTTTAACACAAATATGAGTGAAGGATGAGTGGCGCGATCTTGTAGTCTTGTTAATGACTAATCAATAAAGTCAATTACGTATTCCAGTTATTGACTTTAAAGGACAACACAAAAAGTAAAACAATAATCAAAATTTACTTTAGCATCGTCTTAATGTCCCTTTTGAACGTGTTGGCCAATACAGTAATGTTGACGAAATCTTAGATTTTGACTATACAAATTATACGTTGCGCTAGGGACATAAAAAATGACGAAAATAATTTGAAAATTTGTCACGTTTAAAAGCAAATTTTTAATAGTTTTGAGGAGTATATATACTACCGCAGTTTATTACAAAACCTTTGGTTTCACACCTTAAAATCCATTGTAATGGTTTTCATGCTTTTCTTTTGGTGCACGTGCTACAAAATCTATAAACAGCCAAATGAAATGTCGAATCAGAATATAATCTATTTCTTACAAATACAAATTACAACACAAACAATCCTAGCTGACAGTGAAACAAATGTGTGAAAGTTTTAATAACGATAATAACTCTTTACTTAAGGTATAATCATAAGGATGGATTAAAAAAATATAGAAGTTAAAATAAAAGCAAAGCCGGGCACTAATACTTGTTTTATATAAAAATCTGGTAAAATGTCTGTAATTTGCATTGTTATATTTTCATTTAACTTAAGCTCTTATAGGCAATAGTTAAACGCTTAAAAGGCCTTCACACTTCTCACCCCTTTATGGGTTGGAATCGAACAGATAGACAGACATAGTGTTCGCTACAGCTACATACATACGCTACATTACTGTACAATACTGTATACACAATGAATTATTTACACATGGTAAAGAGTGGTATATGTTAAAGTATGCGCTAGCGTATTTAAATTGCTCATATTTTAGAAAGAACACATTCTTTGAGGGCCGAATTCTTCTGAAAGCTTCCGTGTATTATTAACAACACACGTACAGAGTCAATCGACATTTCAATTTGAAATAAACATTAAGAGAGCATTCTGTTAAATTATATTTAGAGTTTGGGTTTTGGCATTACATTTCAGAAAAGGGATTCGTTCAAATAATTGGTTTACAAAAACAAAAACATAACTTAATTATAAAATTGCAAAATTAATTAATGCCAGCACGGATTGAGCACAAGTGTTAAGAATTATTCTAATGATTAGGCCTATGTCGGGTTTGGATGGATGTGTAAAATGTGGATGTCACGTATTGTTATTAATTTGTTGGTTACCATGTATTAATTTAAACGATTTTAATGTGATGGCTCGATCGGAGACTATTTTTTTTTATTTCGGTAGCCTTTCTATGAACAATGAACTGTTATAGAACAGCCTTTGTTACTAACTTTATGATATTTCTACATAAAAATTTAAAAACAATTAACATATTGATTTACATAGTAATTATCACAATTTTAACACATTTGATTGTACCTGTGAACCAACTGCATTACCTGTTAACCGTTTCTAGAGCACAATGAAGACTGTTGTCTGCAGACTAGAGGACAGCGGTGGAGTGACACCACGTTGTTACGTCCTGTCAATATCTTATCAGTGATACAGGTGGCAGTGATAAGATAACAGGTGGGAGGCGGCGTGGACACCCCGTGGTCCGCGTCAACTGACTCACCCCTGCCTCAGAACTACTTCACTTCAACAGAAAGTTTCATCTGGATCTCTATATCTGGTGAAACAGCACAGTTTGTAAACAGTAAAGTGGAATTGACTACTCGACTGGAGAAGGCATACCATTCCCCCGTTGAAGTTGAATTGAAAACTGACTACGGACGTTGAATTGGGCCACTAAAGGCTATGTTTTCGAAAATTAGTAATTTCTGTCACTCTGTAAGATGAGCAATTTTTTTACCCAAATTAGGATGACAACATTTTGTAAACTTTTTCATCTTTCATTCACATTACCCTATCGCATTAAAAACAACTTAAGGAGGAAATTAATATACCATTATACTGTATGAAACGGTAATAGTGCTGTATGATGCGATTTAGAACAAATATCGTAGGGTTAATAATCCGAGCAGACCCGTTTCTAGATTCAGATTCTATTTGTCCTTGGACTGTGCAATAATTTTTCTACCTAACACAAGACTGACGTTGGGCAGTAACAAGACCAGGATTTTTACAGTTTCTCACAAAAAAGAACATTAATTTCCAATAATGTTGAAAAACACAGTCATGGATTTGTGTGGATGTAACTATCCAAAAAGTATCGAGTGTATATTTTATCGTCATAGTCCTCTATTGCAGTTCTTGTATTTTCTTGCTGGTTTTATACTCAGCGAGATCGATTCTGGATCCATATGCCGATCCATCAATGATGTTATCTAATCGACATTAGCTGCCGGTCTTCATAAGATGATAAATTTAAACAAACAGCAAAGAATTTAGTTTCATAAAAAAAAACTAAATTAACGTTCTATAATAGTTCTGACATGTTGAAGCTGATGTACTTTGTTGTAAATCAATGTAAAACAACTATTTACACGATTAATAACGATATTTTTTCAAATGAATATAATAACCTTTTTTCTCAAACTTATAGTTGTAATAATGATTGTAATAATGATTGGATGATCCAAAAAACCCATAAATTGAATTCGCATCCTCCAGCTGTTTATACAAATGTTTTAAACGTAATTTGTGCGCCAGCTGTTTCAAAATAGGGGTTCAGCAAAATTTTATGATTTTCGTTTATATTATTAAATCAGGCTTATGTGACTACACAGTTTGGAATTTAATTTCAAAATAAAAATAAATACAGGGTGATTGATATAAAAGTGCCAGCTATTTTAATCGAAAGTTATAAGAGATATAAAACAATGTTAAATTGTAACTGCATTTGATTTTTTATTTAAAAAATTGTGGTCGAGTTGAAAAAAATAATTTTAGCCGCCATTTGTACAATATGTCCGCTAACTTTGATTGTTCGTATGGAAGACCTTATTTGATGATTTTTTGGAAATTAAATGCAATTGAAAAACGTTTTATTCTGGACATTTTTTCTTTACAGCCACTCATTTAGGAGATGCAGCGTGTTACAACTAAAAAAAAATTAATAGCAACGTAACATTCTCCATCATGTAGCTCCTAAACGAGTAAGTTCACGGCGAACATGTTAAGAGTAAATAAGTCTTAAAATTACATCTATTAGTTAAAATAAATAAAATGCACTAATTAATTAATTAAAATGTACTAAATAGTTAATAGTTAAAATAAAATATACTAATATTAGTACATCATCATATTAGTTAAAATAAATTCTAAAATTAAAATGAATTCTAAAAAACCAATAATTAAAACATTCACCAAAAGAATGTTTCGGAACCGATGTAATTATTTTTAAGCAATTGAAAGTTGGAATGTATATTGATGGTTGTATATTAAAATGTTTACTATTTATTTACGCCAGATTGGTTAAACTAAATTAACTGAACAAAAAAAAAACGTGACTATTCATGTTTCTCTCAAGTTTTCAAAGTAGTAACAACCAAACTCAACAGCAGTATTTTCTAACTCCACGGCAAAAAAATGATAAAAGTTAAATTTTTTAGATAGTTAATTTTTCTTATATACTTTGATTTTAAACTGCCATTTTATATCTTATTAGATCAACCAAAATGTTTAATTAAAATAAATCTTAGGGGTTTTGTACGTGATCTGATTACACTTTTGATTATCGAAACTATGTAATATCCTAACATGGGGGAGCGAGCTGGCGTAGTGGTTAGAGCGCGGGACTTCGGTCCCTGAGGTCCCGGGTTCGATCCCCACCAAGTCACCAATGGATTTTATCTAAGTGATAATGCCGCAACCCCTAGGTCTAGCCTGAAGTAATGTGAAAAACAATCCCAGGCTCGTGCCTAGCGTCCTTAGGACAAAAAAAAAAAAAAAAAAAAAAAAAAAAAAATATCCTAACATGGACGATGACTTCTCCCTACAGCTTCAAGGAACCGAAGAGCTGGTAGACCCAGTGATGAATACATTTATTTAATTACTTCGGTTGTTATAACTCACCCTGTATAGTTGTAATTTACCACAAGTAGTAGAAAACAGCTTACACAGTCAGTCAAGACGTTTATTGTTTTGACCGGACCCTTTGGAAAAATCAAGCATGTATGTACACTCGAATGTTAGAAGTATATTATTTACTTTTGCATGTACAATTGAATGATGAAAACAAACACTGTTCATGTAAATCATTTTATGCAAAACAAACCATTATTGTAACACTCAGCACCTTGGATTGCACTTCAAGTTCCTTGTAAACAATCTGTCATTGAGACTGAGTGTGTAAGCTCTGAATTTAATTAATCCTCGTATCGTAATCCTCAGAAAAAGTTGAGAGGTTAATCCGTGTCTCACAGAAACATGAGTAAAATTAATTCACACAGCTTATTGGAGAATCTTATATAGTATATGTATTAAACAAAACACCCATGCAAACATACAACACTGTTTAGTAACAGTACCTACTGATAGTAACTTGCCTATAAGAAGCTATGCAATCAACAAATCTATGAATATTAAAATTACTTTTGATGAATGTCTATGCAAACCTTTGGGAGGAAGGGATAAGTGATTTCAATGTTAAATTATTAAAATTGGCATGTAGAAAATTACATTCTAATAAATATAGGAAATACAGAATTTCATGTGCATTAAGATGTATCATATTCATAATAAAAATATTTATATGACTAGAGGACCCATGCTGCCCCGCAGCGTTAAAATAAATATATATATCCGAGAAATAATCAAATTTATGATTTTTTTATTGAGTAATACAGTATGTAGAACTTAGCTGGTTCAAACCATCAATGGCTCAAATTAAAGTCTTTAATACTTTATACTTTTCAATGAAATGGCGACCATACAAAGTAGGTATTTTAAGCCAAGTATGAATGGAGATGAGTGTAGGGTGAGTCTATAATTTACTGACTATTTTGAGTCTAAAACATAAAAAAATACTGGAGCTATTGATTTTTTTATCATAAAAAAACCTTATATAAAGTGTTATGTTGGTTGTTTACCTTGCGTTTGCTTGAAAGTCGTCCGTTTTGAATAACTAATAGCTTAAATAAGAAATTCATCTATTAATTTTTGTTTGTTTGTGTTGGTTTTTGTATTAATTTGTTCATTTTTTATAACAGTGAAGCCAGCATTCCACTGAAGGTTCTTAGACCAAAATAAATAGGATTATAATACTAACTGGTGAAATAAATTGAAGTAAGAACTCGAAAATAAATCAAATTTTTTTTTTTTTGCCCGAGTTATACTAAATGCCGATGCTTTATGTGAAATCTGTGCGTGCATACTTTCAATTTGTGACCTCAATCATGAAAATCAGTCAGGTAGAAGAGCCAAACGAACGCGGAAAAGAAAAACAAAATTTGTTTAAATATATAAGATAAATTAAATTTGTTCGTATTTTTAATTTGTTACAAGCAAAACTTATAACAATAACTTACATTAGAACCTATAGTATATGTACCGACGCCATAATATCACGAAACATCTAAATGGTGTTAACTCATAATAATATAAGAGTACTAGCTGACCCGGCGAACTTCGTATCGCCTAAGTTATAGGTTTCCCCTAAGACAGACCGATGGAAAGAAAGTACCGTTACGTTTAATTTTCAAGATGATCTCGTTCGCATCGCTCAATCACGTCCTGGTTGAAGTTCGTTCGCTACGCTCATTCACCTTTGGGTTGGAGCTCGTTCGCTACGCTCACTCACCTTTAGGTTGGAGCTCGTTCGCTGCGCTCACTTGCCTTCAGGTTAGCTCGTTCGCTACGCTAACTCGCCTCCAGGTTGAAGTTCGTTCGCTACGCTCACTCACCTTTTGGTTGCAAATTAGCTGTTGTCATAAATGTAAAAGAAATAATAGTGCTGCACCCTGTACGTTTAATTTTCAAGATGATCTCGTTCGCATCGCTCAATCACGTCCTGGTTGAAGTTCGTTCGCTACGCTCACTCACCTTTGGGTTGAAGTTCGTTCGCTACGCTCACTCACCTTTTGGTTGCAAATTAGCTGTTGTCATAAATGTAAAAGAAATAATAGTGCTGCACCCTGTTGGTAATCCTTGTAACTTTAATGCTATTGAACATCATAGAACAGAACCAACTTGTTTAATTGAAACAGCTGTTAAGATTCATTAATTCCATTTCTCATAAGGTTAACATGGGAAACTCCAGAGCCACTGGGGCGGAGCCCTTTTAAGAATTTCGAAACGGGAAATAGTTTACTTCCTATTCGCATACCTACAGAATTTACACACCAAATTTCATAACGATCGGTGAAGTCGTTCCGGAGGAGTTTGCAGACAAACACTGTGACACGAGAATTTTATATATTAGATAAAGTGCATATACATATTGCGGATAACAATTAGAAAATCAAACTGTGTCTGTTAAAATAAATTTAGATTTGTGTACTAGCCGGTAAAAAATACTACAGTATATTGACAGTGGTTTCATTGATATAGAATGCACTTCCCTTAATCAAATGGTTATTAAGAG